CACACACACTTTCTCTTCTCTCTGTCCCTGTATAAAATATTATATTAAAGTTTATATACCTAGTATATACAGTCATACCTCTTAATACAACCCCCATCCTCTGTTACCGTAGGCCCCACTTACTGCCAGGTTATGCTACGGTATTTAAAGGAACGCCTGTGATATGAACCTGATATTTGAGCCTTTACACTGCCATCTGCCATCTGTCTGCTGTCTGAGTTGTACAATCCCTACTTTATGAACATAATTTTGCCCCGCTATATCGCCACCGAACTGATTGTCAAAGGTATACCCAGTGGTGGTTTGTTAACTGGGCATGACCGGCGGTGCCGGTCAGATTTTTGTCAACTGAACTGTTGACTAGAGGTTTATTGCTGATGACGATTTTCATTCAGTTTTAAGTAAATCCAAACAAACATGTATCAACATTCAAAAACACCTTGCCGATTAGAAGGCGCTCAAATAGACAAGTGGGAACCACTGCTGTTTTGTCGCGACATAACCTCATTCCTTAACGTTTGTAATCGCGCCGGCTCGAAACTTTAAATCGTCTCCCGTCAAACTGTCACGTCGCGGAACTTCGTAGCCTACTACATACGAGGCCAAACACACGGCGGGCTTGGCTTAGGCCTGATGATGTCCCATGGACAAATCCATCGTCAGCCCACATAAAGATTAGTATATCCCTTAATTGCCAGATTGGCCTCTTTGTAGCTTACAAAATTAAGAATGAGACTGTCTTGAGCAGCACAGACACATGTATTATTTTATCAGCAAAACATGTATTTATCATTCAGCCTTTCTCGAACTACTATCAGAACATTTATTGTCAGCATGGAACTACTCTTTTTTGTTTATTGACTTTTTAACCACCTATAGTTCCTGTTTGGCATTTACTCATCGTTTTTTCCCCACTAATAACTTACCTGGCCCTTAGGAGTCTGGCCGGCGAAAGAAGGAATCGTCTAGTGTAGATATATATAAGGAAAATTTTAACAAGGAGCGAAACACTCGGCTGTCAGAGTCTGGGCCGAAAACCCCTTCCCTTCCCTCCCCTTTTCAACCCTCACCCC